GTTTAAATTATTGTTAATTACTGTTTTGGTTAGTGATTAATGTGTTAGAACCGTATCTGTTGGCTTACCTAGCATTCTAAGAGTTAGGCGTCATCACGATCCCGACGGTGGAAAATCTAGGTCGTGACAATGATAAATTAGACATGTCAATAAAATCCAATATTCAAAAAAAAATAGTTAATATGTTTATTAAAGAAAAAAAGTTGGGAAAAACATCACTGGAAAAATAATTAAGATAAATGTTACACGGGAAAAACTTCATAAAAATAAGGAAGGTATTGTAATGGAATAAATATGATCTTTTTACCCTTAGAGGCTTCGGGTTCGAGCTTCTAAAATAAAAAAGATCTTGATCGCTACTCCTTTTAATTGAGAAAATTGTAGTATTGAAACAAAAGGTTTGATAAGCTAGATATGTTCTAAAATTACTATTCTTTAAGCATAGGAGAAGATAGTTTATTTTAACTCCACAATATCGTATAGGTTATACTTAGTGACGGGGCCACCTTAGTCTAAGGGGTGTTAGACACGTCTTAGCCAGAAAATTACATTGTGTAGCTAGGTCCAAAATGTTCTTATATGTATATATACATAAGGGGTGCCAGACACGCCTTAGTCTAAGGAGTGTCAGACACGCCTTAGCCGGAAAATTACATAGTGTAGCTAGGTCCAAAATGTTCTTATATGTATATATACTATATGTTGAAACTTCTTAGCTTCTTGTAATATTAATCAAGAGATTATGATGCCCTCAAGTTGGAGGAACCTTCAATCATCTATCTATGACCAGGTCCATCTCAAGAAGATTGGGGCCTAAAGCCAAAATTCAGAGAGATGCCCTAAGTAAGAATATCAACAATAAAATTTGCAATGAAAAAATATAAAATAAAGGTAGAATAATAAAACTGGCTCAAGAATTTGATAAGCTGATATACAACAACAACAACAACAACAACATCAACAACAACAACAACAACAACAACAACAACAACAACAACAACAACAACAACATGCCCAGTGAAAACCCACAAATTAAAGTAGGGTCTGGAGAGGTAGAATATACGCAGACCTTACCTCTGTCTTGGAAGGTAGATAGGTTGTTTCTGAAAGACCATCGGCTCAAGAGAAAGCACGACAAAATAAAGGCCAGATAAGGACAATCAATTCAATGCAGTATGAAAATGAAAGTAACAAAAGCGAATAAGTCATGATAAAGCAGTCTGAAAAGGAACAGTAGCTATCACATATAAATAAAATAATCGAAGTACAAGAAATAATAGATAGTAGCAGAAATCAAAGGGTAAGAAACTATAGAGCAAGATAAGTTGATATAATGATATCGAAAAATATTGCATTGCTCCAATATAATGATTGTTTGTTGTAATGCTTTGAAGAAGACAACTTGTAAGCTCCGGTAAGTTGTCGATTGAGAGATTTTTTGTCACGACCCCAATCTCCCACCGTAGGATGTCGTGATAGCACCTAATCTCTAAGACTAGGTAAGTCTAACATACATTAAGAATAACGGAAATAATAATAGAAATTCAAATTTAAACCAACCAGCTATCATCAAAGAACTCCACAATACAGCTGACAATAACTCTCAAAATCTTGTGAGACTGAGTCATAAGTTCTATACGAGTATATTGAACGTCTCTAATATATCACTATCTAAATAAAGAGTATGCAATAGAAAAATAAGGACAGAGGGTGACTCCGAGGCATGCGAACGTCGGCTGTATACCTTGAAGTCTCTGATCAGGAAGATCTACTCATTGGTGCCTAGCCTGGTATGAGGTACCTAGATCTGCACAAAATAATATGCAGAAACGTAGTATGATGCACCAAATAGTACCCAGTAAGTATCAAGCCTAACCTCGGTAGAGTAGCAATGAGGTCAGGTCAAGACACCTACTGGAATAAATAAAGAAGCTGAACAGATATGGTACAGTATAATAATGGAAACAAGAAAATCATACAATGAAGAAATACAACAATATAAGTTACACTGAAACTAAGGCAATAAAGGCATCAAGGGAGGAACACATAATAAGAATAACAGGGAAAATGTGCAGACAAACACAAGTGATGTAAATGAAAGATAACAACAAGATTCACAATCACAATCTTTCCTTATATCACCGCGGGAGTCTTACTTTTAGTTTTGAAAATTATTTTTTTCGAAATAGCTACCCGCATTTTAGCCCACCTTATCACACCGCGTGGCTTCAAGTAGTTCCCCGACTAGCAACACGCGTATCAAGCGCACCTTATTTCACCGCATGGGTACAACCCTTATTCGTATACCACCACATGCGTATCAATATCACAATTTGCACCTCAAGTGTCCAAATATCACAAGTTGCCAAAAGAATCAATAATAATAATGTTTCCACAATAAATAACTCATGGCTCAACCACAATGAGTACAAGAGTCTTAACAATATCAATTGAAAGTTAATATCTCAACAAGAATAGTATTTCAATAATTTACAACTTTGCCTCAATGTGATCACGGCTTTTACAACTTCAACACCAAAACTCAACAATAAGATATTCCAGAAATAATAACTTTAAAAACAGTAACTCAACAGTCAAATAATTAACAATGCAATAAGGAAACAGTAACTTCAACTAAGCATGTAAGGGAAAATAATAAGTAAGAGATGAGACAAGTATAACAATGTCAAGTAAAGCAAGTAAGGATAGATTAACGATGATGAATATAACATATTATAACAATTCGATTAAAAGCATGAAAAGAATATACATAGCCTAAACCGGTCAATTATCACATATAGCCTGTATAACCATTCGTCATCTTGCGTACACAACTTTTACGTACCACAATTGACACAAAACAACTTCAATCCTAAGGGGTAATTTTCCTACACAAAGTTAGGCAAGATACTAACCTCAAAACATGCAAACTAAATCCACTAGTAAGCCTTTTTTTGAATATCCAACTATGAACGGTTCGAATCTATTCAAACTAACTTTATACCATAAATACAAACCATAGAAAACTATTTCGGACAATAAAGTTGCAATCTTTAAAGAAAAATAAAAAGTCAGGTCAAAAAGTCAACTCTGGCCCGCGTCTTGGAACCCGACCAAACTTATAAAATCTGAACACCCATTAAATAATGAGTCCAACTATACTAAAGTTATTCAATTCCGACCTCAAATCTTAAAAATATAGCTTGTGAGTTTTCACAAATTTTCTCAATTTTTCTAACCCAAAACACTAATTAAATGGAAAATCAATGATAGATTCATGTATAATAATCAAATCCGAGTCAAAATCACTTATACCCCGATCAACTCCTTGAAAATCTCTTCAAAATCGCCCAAAACCGAGGTCTCTAGCTCAAAAGATGGAAAATGGAACAAAACCCTCGAGTTGAAAATAATATATTGCTGCCCAGTTATTGCCTTACGTGATCGCGGAAAAGCACTCGCGATCGCGGAGAACAAAATTCTCCCTGCTCACAAAACCTCTTACGCGATCGCGTGACCTCAGTCGCGAATGTGGTAACCCGTCATCCTCAGCTTACGCGATCGCGGTCATGGCCACGTGAACGCGAAGAAAAACGCGTGCCTCAGCTCAGTCTCTCCTTCCTTATACGCGAAAAATGGTCCCACGCATGCGTTCGCGATGCACAAGCACCCCAAATTACGCGACCGCATCCCTGACTTCGCGAACGCGAAGAGTAAAAATCCATCAGTCACTAACTACTCTACGCGATCGTGCCATATCCTCTGCGAACGCGATGAAGGAAACCAGAAAATCAGAAAACCAACAATCTCAATGCAAGCACAAATGGTCCGAAGTCAATCCGAAACACGTCCGGGGCCCTCGGGACCCCGTCCGAACATACCAACAAGTCCTAAAACACGATACGAACTCGCTCGAAGCGTCAAATCACATCAAATAATACTAAAATCACGAATCGCACATTAATTAAAGCCTAATGAACTTATAAACTTCTAACTTCTAAAACTAATGTCGTAACTTACCAAACCAACTCCAATTGACCTCAAATTTTGCAAACAAGTCATAATTATACAACGAACCTATTCTAACTTACGGAATCGAAATCTAGACCCGATATCAGTAAAGTCAACTTTCGGTCAAACTTCTCAATCTTCCATACCTTCAACTTTCCAACTTTCGTCAATTTAAGCCAAAATGATCTACGGACCTCCAAATAAATATCCACACATATGTCTAAGTCCAAAATCACCATAAAAAGCTATCGGAACCATCAAAATTCTATTGCGATTCGTCTACACAAAAGTCAAACTCCGGCTAACTCTTTCAACTTAAGCTTCCAATTTTGGGACTAAGTGTCCCGTTTCACTCCGAATTTCATTCGAAACCAAACCAATCAACCCTGCAAGTCACATAACCACAATATAATATAGAGGAGGCAATAAATAGGAAAACGGGACTAAAATACTCAAAATAATCAGCCGGGTCATTATACTTTTCAATATTAAGAATAAGAATAGTAAAAGAAAAAATTGAAAAGGTAAATATTAAATAATAATTCGAGCTCGTATTAGTTGCTAGGATATAAATGAGGCAAAAAAATAGCTACGCTGCCCATGCAAGGAAACAACGATCCTCACATTAAAGTTTCGCTCCAAAAATTCTTTTTAAATTTAAATATACAATATATCTTTAAGAAAAAAATGGGGCCTCAAGAAGTTAGGACCCCAAGCGATTGCTTTACTAGCCTTATAGTCGAGTCACCCATGTATCTATCTAACGATGATATAGAATATATGTCCGTTATTGATGCCATAGAATTTGAATCAGAAAGTGATTGAGTTTTGCAGCTTTACTAGAGAAGTTGTTAAAGAACAAAACTTTCAACCTAAAGAGAGCTAAAAGCAGCAAACTACATATTCCATAAAATAACAGCAAACTACACTTAAATATAAGACAACATGACTAACGAAGATGGTTCCACCAATAGCAATATAAAACTATTCTAATCAAAGAGACTAAAGTAAAAATCTTCTTCATCAGACTCTTCTTTCTTTTCCTCCTCCTTTTTCTCTTCAACAGCAACTTCAGCAACATTACTTTCAGCACCATTGACAACAGAAGAAGCAGCACCACATCCAAAAGCCACAGAATAGAAGCCAATTGTTGTTTGCCAGCGGCAATTAATCCAGTAATATCTTTGCCTTTGACTTGAGACAATAATTGTTCGATTTTCGACTCATCAATCTCAGCACCAACAGGCAACAGAATTCAAGATTTTCCTTAAATCATCAGCTGAAGGATTAGTGTTGCCACCCAATTGTGCCAACAAATAGGCTGCGATCACCTTCATATTTAGTTAAGTTTTCAAGATTCTTGAATATAGAGTTTTCTTCAAAAGAATACGTGAGACAGAATTTTGTTATTATGAGGAATATGTCTCCTATTAAAGGGTATATATAGGCACCATGTTGGGATTGTAGGAAATCCATTCCTAATTAGGACAGGTATAGGAGTACGTAATTATGACCATATTTCAGTTGGATTCTGGTATATATTTCCTAGTACTAATGGGATTGGAAAAGAGAGGTGAAAAAAATATTTAACTTGTATATATTATAGTGTTTTCCGTTTTAACGTATGTTTTAAGTTAATTATCGTTTTTACTATATTTACGGGGATGGATATGGGGCTTAGCAAATGGGACGGACACGAGAGAACTCTTCAAAAAACTACTTTTTTCAATTGGAGTGGAGCCAAAACAAGGTGAGACGGATCTTTAAAATTTTTTGTTTTAGATATTCCTATTTATATCCATATCATTCTCAATTATTTCAATTTTATAAATAATAAGGGACATCGATTATTACTTATCTAGTAAACTGAGATCTTAGTTCTCTCCTTTAAATGATAAATTAGACATGTCAATGTTAATATGTTTATAAAAAAACAGCGTTCAAATAAGGAAAAAAAAGCAATCACTAAAAAAACAATAAGTATAAATGCTACATCAAAAAAAATTCATACAATAAAGAAAGTATTGTGGTGGGAGGGATAGGATCTCTTTGGTCTCCACCTTTAGAGGTCTTGGGTTCAAGCTCTTAGAATGAAAAAGATCCCGATCGCTACCCATTAGTTGGGGCTTCAAAAAGAGTACCGAACACTGGATAAGAAATCGGGAAAAAAAAGAGGGGCACAAATTGAAAGTCTTAGGGTAGAGAGGTTGGGTGGTACAACAATTTGACGGGGAAGACTTGCCCTAATGTCATCCCTATTTTAATTACCTTCATAAAGGGATGAAGGCAATTCAAAATTCAGATCTTCCATATAAATCTTCTCATATTCTGTGCTCTACAGTAACTTCAAAGAATATATAGCTGCAAATTCAACTCCCCCCACCCTCCCAAAACCAACTACAAACCTTACAAGTCTAACGTTATATATCAGCGGAAATCTCCACAAAATACATGTTGTGTTCAGTCCTAACTATCCCCTTAGCCATTTCCGTTCCATTATCCCCAATGTAATAGAAATTTAAAATAAAAAAAGAAAACCTTTAAATCACCACCCAAAATACCCTTGATTCAACTGTCGGCTATCAGCGGGCAAAAGCCAGGGGTTTGTTTTCGTGCATTTCCCCCGCAAGCAGATAGATCATAGGGAATAAAAGGAAATAATGTATGGCAATAAGTCAATTACACCAACCCCATCCAAAGTAACTGCAGCTGTACAGTAAAGCCATAAGACTGGTTGAGGATTAAAATAAATTTCTGAAAGAAATGAAAAGTTCAAGGTTCATCTCTTGAGAGTTGAGAGCTCATAAACCTCTTTAGATATTTCGAATGGGAACTAGATTGGGGCTCTCTATAAGAAAAATACATCTCTAATAGGTGGTATCTGCAATAACCAAAACATTTTCAGCCACACCACGATTTCCTAAAACCTAAAGACTGTAACTCAAAGGGAAAACATAAAATTTAATAAACAAAAACTTATTCCTGAATTGAGCTATATATATGGTACAAATCCTCTATGAAGGGATTCCTGAACTACCTGCTAACTCATTAGTGAAAGGCGGGCTGGACAAGAACAGTAAAACCCACTGATATAAATCATCAAGATGAACCATTTAAAGTCGGACTGCCTGGTAGGAACCTAATCCGACTGCAGTGTTTCAACTTGATGAGAGCTTCGTGTGCTCTCCCTCGCAACAGATCCACGTATACTGCAGTAAGAATAGCTTCAGGACGTTGAGGTTTTATGGAAAGTGCTTGTACTGCATAATTTTGGGCCTGTTCGATGTCTCCTTGCATCACAGACATGGCAGCTAAGTTTGCAAAGAGCATTCCACGTGCCTCTTCTGGATTGAGGAATGCAAACGCTTGAGATTCCTCTGATGGAAATGAATTCAAAGTCGCTGATCCACCATTAGTATCTTCAGAATCCAATGTTTTCTCCTGTCTCCACATTTCAGAATCCTCTTGACTAAACGGCAGATCAACACCCTTGCCACCGGCGATATATGTTGACAAATAATCCACGGCTTCTTTTGGCCGGTTTAGCAAGCACAGAGCCTCAGCTGCATACACATTGCCAAGAAAGATATATATTTTAGAACATTCTTGGACTTTCAAGAGAGATTTTGCAATTGTAAGGGCCCTCAATGGATTTCCCAATTCCAGCTCTACAAAAGCCAAATCAGCCAATACAGCTTGCTCAATCAGCAGATTCTCTTTTCTACCAATGGCTTCATACTCACAGATAGAACTCGATAAGGAGGCATGTTGACTGCTCACACCCTTTTGCTCCTTCACCTCCCCGTTTGCGTTAATCTGACCTGATGCTGCCACATTCAGTGACTTAGGGTCACCACTTGACCCATTCTTACTGTTTGCACTCTTGGATGGTACTGCTTCTCCTGTTTCACTTTCTTCCAGACCAGAAGCACAAGGTTGCACGGACTTGTGACCTTTTGATTCAGAACCGTTCAATAAATGCAGTGCATTCAGAAGACACTGACGAGCCAGTAATACTGATAGCTTAGGATGTCTATCATTAACCACCAAATCTTCGGTACCTGAAAGACATTCCTGTCCATTTCTTAATATCCCATCTTCCATAACAAGTTGCCTCCATTTTCCTTTTCCAACGACATGAACTTTAACTTCAGACCTGTCAGAAGCAGCACCACCACTGGCCTTGAGCAGTCCCTTTTCAAGGGCCATCAGACAACATTCTGCAATCCGTAGCCATAAAAGAGGCCTATTATAGAAAACCTGAGTGGCCTTATAGAAACAGCTTGCAGCTTGTAATGGTTTCCCACAAGCCAGGTACTGCACACCACAGTTATATGTTATGAGAAGAGACTTATCCTGTGAGATGGTTGAGAGCTTTAGAGGCTGCTCTTTCCGGAGAGAGGAACTATTACTCAGAGCCTTGGCAAAAAGTACAGAAGAGGTATGATGCTTGCCAAGTCGATAGTATATGCACCCCAGATTGTTGTAGTATATGCTAGAAATTCCCATTTCTGTCCGATTACTTGATGCCATCAAGAGCTTGATCGCTTTTCGATGATTCCCGCGAGCATATTCAAGCTGGGACTTGAGATAGAGAGCCATAGAATGATCCTTCGCCCGTGCTGTGTTCATAGCCATCTTAACTTCACGCTTAGCTGCCTTGAGATTCCTGGTGAGGAGAAGAAACCGGACCTTGCAAAGGTGCAGTTTAATCCTCATATCAGCAGTTGAGATAGATTCATCAGTTTGGCTCCTTATTGAATCATTTTTCGATTTCAAGCCAGACTGTCGTGGTAAATTCTGCCCACCAATCTCCATGGATGATATTAAATGCAGAGCATCATCTTCAAGTCCATCTTCTGATAACGTCCTAGACAAAGAACCTTCAGAGGTAATTCCTGTAGCAGGTGAATCTGGATTGGATGAATCAGGAATAGTTGAATTGCTAGGAAATGAAGCCGATTTCACCACGACGGATGAAGCTGTTGGCTGTGCAGAGTTTCCGTTGTCAACTTGACTCAATAAACTACTGCTACAAAAGACCTTCTCCACATAACTGATAACATCCTGGGAGCAAGAATCATGATTAACCCATTTGATACAAGGAAAAAAGGGCGCGCTAAAGAAAGTCAAAATGGAAAAGAAGCAACACACTAGAAAACAAACATGAGATTCCTACATGATTCCACCATCTCAGCAACGGTACAGCAACATCTCAGCAAGAGGAAAAACGGAAAACAACCATCCTTTTCATGCGTATATAAAATTGGTAATCATCATTTAGCTATTAGAAATAATAAAACTAGAAATGGAGTCTGAACATATAATCAACCTTTAAATAGAACAATCATGATTACAACAAAGTCAAAAACCATTACAGGCATCTTACATGACAAAACTACTGACGTTAAACCGTAAGTCAAAAAGTTCAAAGTCAGCAATATGTATAGAAGCACATTAAACCATAAGTCACAAACATCAAAACCAGCAATAATTAAAAGAAGCAAATATTCACTGCCCAACAACTGCCTAGATTCACCCACACAAAAAAAAATTGAAAGTTATTCAAAACGAACAAAATAGATAAATATAGAACCAAAGGTTAATCATGCAGGAGACAAATACAACAAATGCAAATAGTACCCTTGTAGAGGTGATACTAGGTGAATTGTTTCCTCTGTGAGCTTTAGTTGACAGAATTATCTCGTACTTATGGGGACAGAAGATTGCATGTACATCATGGATTAGTTGACATGTAGGTAAGCTGCCTAGACACCATTGTTATTTAAAAAAACGAAAGAGTTGCGCAAATGTAAATGGCAATCTCTCACAAGGAAATCTGTTTTTGTTTTTTAAAATTGTTAAGGGAACCTCTATGATTAGGCGATGCTTCAGCTTACCGAGGAAATGACCCTTGATAGGAGGGTGTGGAGGTCGAGAATTAGGATAGAAGATTAATAGGTAGTCGAGCACTTTTCTTTTCTCTTCTTTTTTGTACCAGTAGTATTAGTGTTAGTCTTATTTTTTCTATTACTACCTGATATTTCTTTTACTTTGGTTTTTATTATCTTGTTGTTGTTACTGTTTGTTGCTACTGCTTCTTTTTTTAACTTTTCCGAGTGTCTAGCCTCTCTACCTTCTAAGGTCTGTGTACACACTACCCTCCCCAAACCCCACTTGTGGGGTGACACTGGGCTTGTTGTTGTTTTTGTTGTTACGGGACCTCTAGTTTATTTTTTCCTGATAAGAGATGAAATTGTTACGGGATCCTTTAGTAAGATCACCTACTTCTGTGTGAATTCACTTTATATAAAGTTAAAAACTATAGGAAGCAGTT